TATTCATTTCTGTGGACTCATGCAGAATAGGCAACTTCAGGGAGAGGACTTTGCTAGCTTTTTTGTTCGTCTCCCTCCTCTGCCCTGTTCTCTGCGCCAGATGCTGTTTTCTGGAGCCACACCACCCAGTATTTTTTTTTTTTGTTTTTTTTTTTTTTTTTTTTTTGAATTTTGGGACTTGCAGTTGGGGGCCATGATGAAGGAATGAAGGACAAAGGAACAGAGCGGAGTGCTGATTCCTTCTGCTTTCTTCCCAGTCACTGGAGCTTGGGGTTTGTCCTTTGTCACCTTTCTGTGTCTACAGCTCCTGTCAGGCAGTCCCTCCTCTACAGTCTGTGCTCTCAACAGGTTTTGCTACCATTTCCTCCCTTTCCCCTCCTCCCCCCCACCTCTTCAGTGGGGGTGGTGGTGGTGGTAAAGCGTTCCTGCTGAGGTAGACTTTGTGTTGAGTTCTCATTAACAACACCCATACACCCTCTTCTCTGTTCCCTCCCTTCTTCTCCACCGCTCTCCTCACTTTTCTCTCCCTCTCCTCCTCTCTCTTTCCCTCCCTCTCTCTCATTCCAGTAAAACTCTTGAGCACAACTCTTGTTTCCAGTGGGGACCAAAGGTAACCAATGAGAAGAACGAGACTCATGGAAGTGAAATGCTGATGCTTTTAATTCATCCTTACCATTGTGTCATCTTTACATTGTAACTCATCAGAAGTCTCCCTCCTTCATCCTTGGAAGAGCAGCACCAGCACCGAAGTCTCTAGGCTTTCTGTGGTGGCTGCTTCTGCAGGCAAGTGTGACTTTGGGTCTAGCAGAGGAGCAAACTCTGAGTATATTTGCTTTACAGTCACTGCTTTAATTTGCTGATTTGATTTTATTACCACAGTTAAAGATAATTGATAATAAAAGCCAAAATTTGATAGTAACCAAGAATTTTTGACCTTTGGTAAACTGACTTTTATTTTTCATTTTTGACCTTTGCTATAAATCAAGGACTGAGACTTTTGCTAGTGGTGAATGGTGTGAAGATCAAGGTACCCAGGTGCAAGCATTTCTACTGAAGCAGATTCAGTGACCAAGGGGCTCATGGGGAAAGCTTATGTACATTCCCTATGCCTTAGCATTTTTAACTTTCTCATTTCTAGAATGCTAAGTCTAGCCTCAGTTCTCATACTTGTGTTCTGGCAGCAACTCAGTCTTAACTGATGCAAAGTCATGGACATGACTTAGGCGCGTTGATCCATGAGCACTCTCTGTGTGCCAGTCACTGTGCCAAGCCCCATCAGTACAGTAAATCTAACACAAGATCCATGCCTTCCAAGGGTTAAACCAATGCAGCAACAACATTATTGTTAAATTTAACATACAAATATCATTAGGAAAAGATAATAAAAGTTGAATTTCTAGGACCAAAAGGTAGTCTTTTGGTTTTAAAGACATGACTTCTAGCAAAATGGCAACTCCATGCACATATGCTGTTACCTCCCTCCCCCCCTGTAATTTGGTGAAAATTGCAAACCATTGTGTTAGTTGCATTTCTGAGATTACTACTAAAGTTGGATATTCTTATATTTCTATTGACCAGAAATACTTCTTTTGGGAACATGCCTCCATTGGCCAATTAAAATTTGAGTACTTGTTTCTCATCTAAGAAAATGATCCATGTCTGCTATAAACACTTGTTTTCATTTGAATTATATATTTTTTATTTTTAAATTCATAAATTATTTTAAAAATCCACCAATATTTTTGATATGAAGTGAAAATGCAACTTTAATTATTTACCAAATAGCTAAACTTTTGGGCAGGCCCTAATTGTGAAGGGTCTGGAATTCTCTTTGGAAAATTTCATTGAAAATTTGTTTGTGGAGATAATTTGGACATATGGAAACTGAATGTTCTTTGGGCAGGGTCCCAGGACACATAGAA